GAAAGTTCTCTTACTTTAATGCACAGGGCAATAGAAGGGAGTGCTCAAATATAATAAATCCAACAACATTACAATACAAGATGATTAAATCTTCAAGAAGACTCATCAATATAAATGTGAGCAGTGAACACTTAGAAAACACATTAGGAAAATGACAAGGCATTTACTACCTCATTTCGTAATGGGAACATTTTTTAATGCTTAAGCTGTTGCTCATGTTTTAGAGTATGAAGCATCTTGCTCTGATTGAGGTGTCATGGACACCATGATGGATTTACATATTCAATTTAACTCTTAATTTATTTACAGCTGTCACAGCCTTTCCTTGTACTTCTGCTCTTCGCTGTGTGTGGGTGCATCTTTCAAGAGCTGCTCCCTGACAGTGAGCATCTTCAAACAATCACCAGGGCAATAAAACCATTTCATGATTCTAAATTAAGCCTCAATCTCCCTCAAGCCTGTGCCAGATCGGCTTGTTTTTTTTGCAAAGCTCTTAAGCCACTTTTTCAAGCCTTGTTTTGAGACCTGACTTTTTGCCCGTTTTCCAGTCAACAGCCATTGCCTATACCTCTGGTGCCAGACCTTTGGATTTTTTAACTATGCCTGTATACTGATGAAGAGTTAAACCATAGCTATTTATTTTGAAATGGCTAGTCTGTCAATGACGGAGAGTACAACTATATCGATTTTTATGTTTGCAATTGTCCAATAATCCTCTTTAAAATGTAATTTAAATTTGAATTCATGATCAGTAGCTTGTGGCTAATATTAGCTTATGGTAAAAACATTAGCATAGTTCAGACAAGGCACTATAAGATAAGACACCCCTTTATGAATCCCCATAGTGAAACTCAGGGTTCAGTTACATATAAAAGTGGCGTAATGGACAAAACTGAGTAATTTAGCCGTCTCTTCTATACTTGTAGTGGCAAAACTCCCAATATGTTCTGTCGCTGAGAGGCTAAAACTTGGCTCGTCACATTTCCTCACTTAATTCCTGTTCCTGACTGTTGCATGCTTGTCTTTAAGCAGTCTTTATAGCACAATCATAGCAGCCACTTCTGCCTTGGCTTTTATATATGCAGATGAATAGGTCGATTATCTGAATCTTGAACCATGAGTAAATTTGCTTTTCCTGTTTTCAATATTTGATACTGCATATTCCATTCTAGTTTCTGTTTTTAACACTCATTTTGGATTTTCTAGTATGCAGTGCACCGTTCCTAAAAGATTTACAGCAACGCAACAGCATTCACATCAATCTTGTCGCTTTTGTAGGGTTTGATCTCAGCGGTGCGCGGTGGTCACAGCGCTACAAACAATTCCAATAGTCCAAACTTCTTCCGCTGATATCGCCATAAACCAGCAAGCACAACACAGGCAAAAAAGCAGTCTCCAATGGACTAGCCGCAGCACTTCCAAACTGTGTTCAGAGAAACATAAACACAGAAGGAATGCAGCCTACTGCTTCAGTTGTGGTTGATCATGTTGAATAAAGCAAATCATATAAATAATCATCTTTGCAGGACCAAACGTTCAAGAGAAAATGTCTGCCCTAGTTCTAGTTCACACTTATTTTTTGTCGGAGCCAATAAATAAGCATTTTGGGCTTGTACAATACTTATATTGCAGAAGTGAAATAGTTGGGCATCATCGGTGACAACAGATCGTCTTGAATGAACGCCTCCTGTCTCATTTCACTTAACATGGCATCATTTGACCTACACAAGTAATTGAAAATGTCCACATTTTGTTCAGTTGTGGTACCAACAGGATTCAGAGAATGGACGGAAAGCTTTAAATCATGGAGAACAATGCTAGCTAAGAGCAGAGCTACAACATGGATGGGGCGGAGAGAATTGTAACATACAAATGTTTAGTATCTTATCTGTCCTCTGACACATTCCTTTATCCAATCTCCCAATCTCCGGGACTTCCACAGAGCCCCCTGACCTATCATCGAGTCCCTGTGGCCTCGGTGGCAGATGGGAGGCGTGATCCTGGACCAGTGCTCTTTGTGTATGTGGAACAAGAGCCCTCTGCCCTTGGACCTTTCACTCAGTGACAAGATTTCTCTTAGAATTTATCCAGCTAGTAAGGGAGGAGCACTCATGCGTACTAAGCTTCATTTGCATTGCTGCAAGCTGAGGCCACAAAATGAGGCCTCAGGAGAGACAGTGGCACGCTGCTTACAAGGGCAGAGTTAGAGTAAGGACAGGGGATGAGAGAGAGAGGGAGAGAGAGAGAGAGCACAGGCAGAGTCAGGAAATCAGGCTAGCAGATTAGGAAAAGCTCATTTCTTTTTCAAGCAGGTAGGATGTTAGGCAAGAAGATTAGGAAAACCAAATTCGATTCAGGTTGTGTTTCTAAAATGACTTCAATTATTACTGTAGAACCGTTGTTATCAATCTGCAAAGCAGGGAATTTCTGTCTGTATGTGTATGTCTACATATTTACAATTGGCAGGTGTATGGCGATTGCATCCCAAGAGCATGCATAACAAAGATGGTGCAATTTGGAAACCTGTCTAGTTCACGATAAGCAAAGTTGGAAATAACAAGCGAACAGCCTCCAAACAGGTTCCAAGCAGCCATGTTTTACACAGGCGTTGTCATAGTCGGAGAAATACAGGAATGATAGTACTGCAAACACATGCCAAAGCGGCACGTCAGTTCAGAGTTCACATATACAATGTATTCTGCACCGAGCTGGTCTGAAAGTGAATTACCATGGAAAGAAAAAAAACTCCTTGTGTCTGAAAATGTTTCCTCAGAATCAGAGAGATGGGAGCTGTGATTCGCTAAAAATAAAACTCTTCTTAGAATTTCCACAAACACTTCACCTGATTATAACCTGGCAAGACATTCAAATCGAATTAGCTTCACACACTAGTATATTCAATGGAGCGAGCTTAAGTTTCACTTTCGATTGCATGATATAGCCCAGCGCAACACCTCCTTCACACATGTTGCCACTTGTTTGTACCATTTTCTGGCAATTTGTAATCTGTTCTAGGAAAACGATGTGTTTTTTAGGATTTCAAGAAGCATACTGTATAGAACAAACAATGGATGTATTTTATGAACATTTATCCTTGTATTGTTGATTTATTGTGTGAACGAGGCGATATAGAGAAGGTTAAGCTGTCATTATTAGACTGTTATGTACTGTTGGAGTGGTAAGCAGGCCTATTGCCTGCTCAGCCCTCTCCTCTACTCCCTGTTCACTCACGACTGCATGGCCACACACAGCTCCAATACCATCTTGAAGTTTGCTGACGACACGACCGTCATCGGCCAGATCACCGACGGCGACGAGACAGCGTACAGAGAGGAGGTCGAAAACCTGACATCTTGGTGCCAGGATAACCACCTCCATCTCAAAGTCAGCAAAACCAAGGAGCTGATTGCGGATTACAGGAAGCAGCAGAGAGAGGGACACGCCCCCATCGCCATCAATGGGACTACGAGAGAGTCAGCAGCTTCAGCTTCCTCGGTGTCCACATCACTGAGGACCTGACATGGACTCTTCACACCACCACCATCACCAAGAAACCTCGACAGCGGCTCTTCTTCCTCCGCAGGCTGAGGAGGTTCAACATGGACTCCAGGATACTCTGCAACTTCTACAGGTGCACCATAGAGAGTATCCTGACCTTCTACAGGTGCACCATAGAGAGGATCCTGACCTTCTACAGGTGCACCATAGAGAGTAATCCTGACCTTCTACAGGTGCACCATAGAGAGTATCCTGACTGGCTGCATCACGGCCTGGTACGGCAGCTGCACCGCCCTAAATCGTGAGGGTGGTGAAAACTGCACAGAACATCACCAGGACGGAGCTACCATCCATGGAGGACCTTTACTCCCAGCGGCTCAGGAAGAAATCCCTCCGGATTATAAAAGACCCCCATCACCCCAGCCACAAACTGTTCTGTCTGCTGCCGTCTGGCAGGCGCTAC